GCACTGGCGATCTGAACTGGTCAGTGGCGAAAAAAAGCACTTTTATACGGGACACATTTGCCCCCGTTACCGTTTTAGCTTGTTTCGCGGATCAATACTAAACCAATTTTAGAACGAGTGGTACCCATGAATCATACGCACACATACACATGGGGAAATAGAGCCCAGGTTGAAAAATACCGAAGTTATCCTTTAAGCAGCTGGTAGGGGCCGCAAGTTTACTGGCTAATGTTGGCTGGCTAAAAGCAACAAGCGGTATTGTCAGTTGCAGGTCACATTTAGGCCTTCCTCGTGGCATCCATGGAAAAGTATGGTCTAATTGTAAACAGAGGCATCTGCAGATTAATTCCATACCCCATATGTTATTATCCATTAAAGTCTGCCATGATACGAGAGAGAATTAGTTTCTGTTTTTGTTATCTTCACTGCCATTTTGACTGTAAAGGGGCCAGAAGGGGCACTTGGTGGCTGCAACTTGGTTTGTCCATCTGCTGCACAACCACATACCTCACCAGTAGCATTTCTGAAGCAGAGCTTATTGCCTGCCCAATATTGTAGATTTGCAGATTTTGTAGATTTGGTCGTTTTTCTGAAATGCTCTGTGTTGCATCTGCTGAATTACAAGACTTGTCTAGAATGGCCGTGATCAGCCCAGGCAGCCACTTGGCGGAGATCTGCACTCTACTTAGTACACTTAGGGTGCTTTCACACCTGCCCTGTTTGGTTCGGTTCAATCGAACTCAAGTTTGATTGCCCCCTAAGTGTGGTTGTTTGGGCAGGTGGTGCACACCAAAACAACCGGACCAAGACTGTCTTGAAGAGGTGGTCTCAGTCCAGTTACAAACAAACTCTGGTGCAGTTTGTTTGTGGTGAGAACGTGTTCCGACCTGGATCTGAACCAACTGCAGTCACATGACACATTGTTTGGGTTAAACATGAGCATGTTACAGTCCTGGAGGATTATTAATGTGCACCTCCTCCTGTACTGCCTTAATATGCACATTCAGCATGTCCAATGCATCAAAACATTGTTTTCTAGTTGGAGCTGCGCCTCGTTTTCAAACTGTATGGTTTGACTAAAATGAACAATGACAGCAATATAGTCCACGATGAGCAGCGCTAGTAAAAGTAAGTATATAAGCAGGAGCCTGGCAGTGTAATGCTCTGTAAGTAAGTAAGAATGAGAATTTTGAACTGGATCCTGAACTCAACAGGGAGCCAGTGAGGAGACGTTAGTGTAGGGGTAATATGAGACCGTCTATTAGACCTAGTTAGTAGTCTTGCAGGAGCTTTTGGATTGCTTGCAGATGATTAAGAGCTTAAATACTCAGTGCGGAGAAAAGTGCATTACATTAGTCAATGTGAGATGAGATAAAGGCATGTATGATCATTTCCAGGTCAGCAGTTGAAACAACAGATCTCAGTTTACTAATATTTTGGAGATATGGTCAGGTGCTTCACATGGGTGTCAAATGATGAGGATTTATCAAATAGAAACCCTAAATTACACAAGTCTGAGTGAGCAGCAGTGGAAAGAGGCCCAATATTTAGCACAGTTTAGCTCTGTAGGTAGTTAGGGCGGCCACCACAGATCCATATCAGCTTTAAAGGGATATTACACCCACAAAATGACCATTTGTTTATCAGTTACTCACCTCGTGTTACATTTACTTTTTGATGAAAGTTTGGTTTGCTGGCATTTCTCCATGATGAGTGAAGAATCCAAAAAATGTTTATGATATTAATTTAATCATTAAATGATATATTTTGGGCGGGGCAACACAATGGTTTGAGTTGAAGGTGTGAGAAAGAATAGTATCAGTAACACTGTTAACACTGTGCTACATTACAGAGAAATACAAAACCATACTAATGAACCTTCATTAATATAGGCCTATATTTTATCTACAAGTGCACGTCACACACTGAGCGAGCCGCCTGTTAATGACGCTGTGGGCTAATGGGCATGTAGCTACTTCCATGTTTCAGATGATACGTCATGTTTGTAGTCAACCAATGAAGATGAGTTTACATATCACCTTGGGTTGGTCCTTCACCTTCTCAAAATGATCCCACACTTTGGATTTCCTGCCCTGGGTGAAGCGTTTCTTAAGAGAGGACAAAATTCTTAAGTCAGTACTTGCAGATCCAAATGATTGTAAAATCAACACATAAAGAGTAATGTGCTGTGTCCACAGGTGGATGCACAGTGTATACTGTACCTAGATAAACAGCCTGAGTGTGAGCACGCCCCTGCCTTCGTGCTTTGAGCAGCAGAACTGAAAGGAACATCTCTGTCGGCAGCATCAAAGCCTGTCGCAGCGGCTCCCAAAGGACCCGGCTAGCCAGCTTGAAGCTCCACCTGTACAGGCAGCCAAGCTTTCATCAGCTGCACATATCACAAAACTGGCATATCTGCTAACATTACTGCTGCTAGCGACTGTACGCTGTCTGCAGCTCTCTCTGTCCCCCGAGTCGAAGCTGTTGAAAGACCGGGGCGACTTCACACCTTATCTGAAGCTCCTGTCATTTGACACATGCAAAGGATGCTGGGATTATGGCAGAGGAAGGCTGCCCGCGTGTGCTTTGTCTTTTGTCTGTCAGGAGAAGTCAGTGACTTAATTACAAAGAGTGATGTAGCGGGGCAGCTGCTGAAGTTAGTTGTTTTGCAGCTGAGCCATGTAATGAGAGTTTCACATCAAAAGATGAGTGCGGAGCAAATGAACAGATGGTGAGGTTTTGAATATTACATCTTTATTACTCAGGTTAGAACAATAAACACCAGCAGGAAAGGATCAGTTTGTGCCGACTGACCATTAAGGACGAGTGTAGTTATAACCAGGAGAAATCGATACGCTCGTTGGCTTTTGTGTGCAAACAAATATTTTATCCCTCCTATCAAATGTTCTCTCCGCCACACCGTGTTTGTGTGTGATTTATTGTGTGTTTTTGGGGAGTGTGAGTGCGTCCCAGCTGGAGTGAAGACTGTTTATATTATTGGTGATGAAAGAGGGGCCCCCAGGGGCCTCAGTAATGGGCTGGGAGGCCTCTGACTTCTTATAATGGCCTCTGCATGTGTGTGTGTGTGTGTGTGTGTGAGAGAGAGAGAGCGAGGCCCAATTGCACCACTATATAATTGTCAATGGGAGGACACACTTTTACATAATAAAATGAAGTCGATACACAAAGACACATAAAGACAGAGAGACGGAGCCTGTCTCTCACATAAAGGCAGGGACACAAAGAGACAATGTGTCTCACACACACACACACACACACACACACACACACACATGCTCTCACACATTGTGGTGCCAGCTGAGCCCAGTGTGTCCAATAACAGCAGGTGCTGTCAAGTGCAAGCACAGCAGACCTGCCCTGACATGGACACACACACACACACACACACACACACACACACACACACACATGGGTGGATGCACATATGTCAGTGCAGCACACACTCATTCATACACCTTCCTCTTCTTGTAACCCTCTTATCCAATAAACATTCTCAAAGTTAGAGCTAATGTGAAATAAGTGTAGTTTACACAAGGTTACAGTTTGTGTGTGTTTGTGTTTATTTGTGTCTTTGTGTGTGTGTGTGTGTGTGTGTGTGTGTATACCTGCTATTTGGCTGTGAAAGGCTGTAGTGTTGCCATATGGTCTCGCATTAGGGCACTCCAAACTCAGCCATCCAGAAGTCTGTGTGTGTGTGTGTGTGTGTGTGTGTGAGAGAGAGAGAGAGAGAGAGAGAGAATAACAGAGGAGAATAAAGCTCTGTATGTCATGAGTAAGCTGCTGGTGTTTAAACACTTATAGTGCTGAACTGTAAATATCAGTCTGTGTTTGGGCTAAATGAAGCTAATAATGGTCTGTCTTTCATTTCCTCTTTATTTCTTTTGTTTCTTTCGTTTCTTTCTTTTCTTTCTTTCTTTCTTTCATTCTTCCCTCTGCCCCTCAGTCGGCTCTTTCTATCTCTCTGTTTCTTTTCTGAATGCACAACCTCCTGTCTTTTTCTAGCTAAATTAAGCTAATTATGGTCTTTCTTTCTTTCTTTCTTTCTTTCTTTCTTTCTTTCTTTCTTCCTCCTGTCACTCAGTTGGTTCTTTCTTTCCTTTTTGTTGTGTTTTATTGCACCATGTCCTTTGTCTTTTTGGGATTAAATGAAGCTAATAATGGCATCTTTATTTGTTCTTTCTTTCTTTCTTTCTGTCTTTCTGTCTGTCCGTCTATCTTTTGTTTGTCCCTTCCTTCCTTCCTTCCTTTCATCCATCCATACTGCTGTCTGTCTGTCTTTTGTTTGTTCTTTCTTCTGTTCCTCCTTCATTCCAGCTTCCTTCCTACCTTCCCTCCTTCCTTTCATCATCCATTCTTTTGTGCGTTATATCCTTTTTCTCTTTCTTTTGCTCATTTTGTGTATTTTTGTTTGTTCATTTCCTTCCTTTCTTCTTTCCCTCCCTCCTTCTTTCCTTCTCTCCTTTCATCCATCCATCCCTTTGTGCGCTTTCTTTTTTCTTTCTTTTGCTCATTCTGTCAGTCTATCTTTTGTTTCTTAATTGTTCCTTCCCTCCTTCATCCTTCCTTCCCTCCTCCTGTCCTTCATTCCCCCCCTCCTTTCATCCATCCATCCATCCATCCTTTCTTTCTTTCTTTCTTTCTTCTTATGGTATAGTATTTCTTCTCTTCTCTTCTCTTCTCTTCTCTTCTCTTCTCTTTCCCTTCCTTAATGCTCCACCACTTTTGTCTCCTGCTTCCTCTTCCTCCTCGTGTCTTTCTGTCTCCCTGTGTGTGTGTTAATATATTTAGCAGTGCCGTATCATACGCTGTGCTGACTTCATTAACTATCGCAGCGTGAGGCTCCAGTGACTGGATGATAATAAACCCCCCCCCCCCCCCCCCCACACACACACACACACACACACACACACACAGTGTTAGGAGCCTAACAGTAATCCATAGATATCTAATCCTCTTTCTCCTCTTCTTCCTCCTCTCAGGTCAGCGTGTTGGAGCGTCAGGTGATAGATTTCCTGGGCTACCAGTGGGCTCCCATCCTGACCAACTTCCTCCACATCATTGTTGTCATCCTGGGCCTGTTTGGCACCATCCAGTTCAGGCCGAGATATGTCACCGGGGTGGGTCTTACACACACACACACACACACACACACACACATACGCACGCACACACACACACACACACACACTTGAAACATCCATTTTAAATATCCTTTGCCCTAGATTTAGTAACAGCCTCTTATTAGCCTATACTCAGCTCTACAGCTCATAACGAGGGCTGAATAATGTTGGAGTGGAGTGACAGTTGAAAGGTTTTATTTTCTGTCTCACTAAAAGTAAGCTGAAAGTCTCACAGCGCTGCCATTCATGAAAATTGTATGATGTGTACAAATTATCTTAAATACCAGGAGGTTCATACCAGGAGAACGCACTGTAAAACAGCAAAGCTGCATATATCAAGAAATAGGTGCAGTCTTCATTAGTTATTAAAATAAATTCCTACCGCTGGATCCAAGATTGAAGGAAGACAATTTGATAATTATTTATATATTAAATAAAAGGTTATAACCGTGATGTGAGTGGGAGTAGGAATAACTTGCCAAGAGGAATTTCTTTGTTTCTGTTCTCTGTCTCTGGCAGCTGTCGATAAAATAATTCATGTGTCAGGAAACTGTCAGAAGTTCCCACAGCGGCTGCAGGGCCTCCACATGGCCCTCCCACACATCATAAACACCCCACTGACAACTTCTCACAGACCTTCACGTGCACTGATGATGCGTGGCTCGGCTCTGACGCCATCCGAGTAAGCGTGTGCGCATAAATCATCCACCCGACACCCACCCGAATAGATTATTTTCTCTGTAGGTCATGTTGGTTTTTATGCCTCTGTGCTGGTGATAGCCGTGGCCGTAGACATTATGCTTTCGAGTTGTCCGTCCTTCCCTCTGTATGTATGCAATATCTCAAGAACGCCTTGAGGATTTTTTTTTTTTCAAATTTGGCACAAACGCCCTCATGGACTCAACAATGAACTGATTTGAATGTGGTGGTTGTAGGTCAAAGGTCAAGGTTGCTGTGACCTTGTCCATCTCATTTTTCTGACACGATATCTCAAAAACACTTTGAGAGAATTTCTTCACATTTGGCACAAACGTCAACGACACTTAACAAAGCATGTTTTTGGCCACAACTCAAGAATTCATACTCTAATGATGACAGAATTTCACAGAAATGTCTAATAGGATGAAATTATGAAGTGATGACATTTTATATCCAAAAGGTCATCTTCACTGTTGCATCATAATGTTCTGCAAAAACACTCTCCTGGCCGTTATTCAGCCTCAGGAACAGAAGGGGAGACATTTGGTCAGATACTGAATTGGTGACACTCATCTTTGGTGTCCACCTCGAAACTGTGCTGCCTCTTTAAGATGTATGTGAAGCATCCATGTTTTCACAGGCATGGATGTGAGCTATAATAGAAACTTGACTGGTGATAAGTCTTCTGCGGGGGCACGGGTTCGATTCCGAGCTGGGGCCCTTTGCGGCATGTCACCCCCCAACCGATCCTGTCTATTGTAGCTGTTAACTGATTAGAAGTTTGTGATTGATGGTCAATATCTCAAGAACACTTTCAGCTGGTTGGTGGTTAAGGGTCAAGGTCGCTGTGACATTTCATCTGTCTCATTGTTGTTAATGCGATATCTCAAGAACACCTTGAGGTAGTATCTCCAAATTTGGCACTTGGATTCAACAATGAACTGAGTAGAATTTTTTGTTCAAAGGTCGAGGTGACTGTGACCAACACCTCAAGAGAATGTCTTCACATTTGTCTCCTCCCCACCAATCCTGTCTATCATAGCTGTCCTATCAATGAAGGCAAAACTCGACAAAAAATGTAAAAAAAAAAAAAAAAAAAGAAGAAACTTGACTGGTGTGCAGACGTATACAATTGCAAGGCAGTGATTCTAGTTAAATAATGTATTGTATTGATGTATGGGTGTGTTCCAAAATTATTTACTGTAAAGATTAGAGAGGCTGCCTTCAATGATTGTAAACGATTCCATGTGCCCAGTTTTGTCACTGCAGCTCATATCATGGGACATTTAAGCAGCAAAACCGAAATCAGTAGTTCTAAACTTAACAGAGGAAACAGAACTAAACTTTTAGCTTCTAAAATAATGAAGTTATGCTGCTGTTTGCTGTTTGTATCTTGCGTTCAAAGTGTCCCTCTTAATGGAGACACATTATTTTCTGATGCTGTGATCAGCGTGACGATATGGTAACATTTTACACTTAGTACACTGAGGCAAGCTGGTTAGTTGATGGGGATAGTTGAGATTTTTGGAAGTGGGATTGTATGTGGTATGAATCCAAAGCCAGTGTATTACATACAGTAGATATCTGTCAGTTAGCCTCCAGTTTGGAGAAGCAGGAAGCTTAGGAATGTACTGCTGCAGAGGGGTGCAACACAATACATGTTTTAGTCACTAAAAAGGTCAATATCAGTTAAAGTGTACACTATATTTAGAATATTTTCACTGCTTTATTTTGCTGTCAGACAGCCCTTTCCGGAGGGGAAGCCATTAACTGCTTCAGTTACCCATCTATGCACTCGTCAAAGCCGCCAGACTCCATTGACAAAAACAGTAATTTTAGCTCACTGAACACAGGAGCTGCTGATCTACCACTACTTCGATCAGTTAGTTTGCTTCTGTTATTGTGTGACTTAGGTGAATCAGAATAAACCCTTTCAAACACCAAAGTCGCAATATCACGAACAGAATAACCGATTGAGGCAGCGGTAGACCAGCAGCTCCTGTGTTCGGTGATGTCAATGTTTTTCTTAATGGAGTCTGGCTATGAAGAGAGCGATGTAACAGCATCAGTCCCCTGTCCGAAATCACTGTTTGCAGCAAGGTAAAGCCGTGAAAATATTGTAAATATAGTCTAAACTTAAGCTGTTATTAAATTTCAAGGGTGGCTAAAATACATTTTGTTGCTGACCCCATCCACAGTAGTACATTGCTTAGCTTCCGTGTCCATACTCCTGCCTGCTTCTCCAAACTGGGGGTGTGCCCACCACCATCTACTGTAGGTAATACACTGACTATGAATTAATTCAATTATTAATTCAACCATGGGCTTTCAATTACATGTTAATTTTAGTGACCTCCCCACCCATATGCGGACTAACTATTTGCGGATAGAACTGCAATCACATCATGAACATGCACACTCAGACACAGAAAATGAAGTGAGAAGACTTAGATAATGAAATGCAATGAAAGTTTGATCCAAGCCTATAAATTCTGCCTTTCTTCCATCATTCATTCTTTCCTGTGTATAACTCTCCTTGCTATACACACACACACTCACAGTCCTGCCGTCTATTTTCTCTCCCTGTCTGGTTTGATTCAGGTGATTGGTTGCACTCTTCGCTGTTGTTTTTGTTTCTCAGCATCTTAACAACATCAGAAGTGAAGCCTCCCTCTGTCTTTCCTCTCCATCTCCAGCTCGCTCCAAATGCAAGACATGAACATGCTTTTTTAATTCTCCAACAAAGGCCTGTCGGATCTCGTCTGCCTCTCACTTCCCTCTCTCTCTGCCTGCTCTCTCTGCAGTACGCCGCCTGGCTGGTCGTGTGGATGACCTGGAATGTTTTCATCATCTGTTTCTACCTGGAGGTTGGGGACCTGTCCAGAGTAAGAAAACTTTCCTTTGGATTTATTTCTGCATCCTTGTCAAGTCTTCTATTGTACATGTCCAGAGTGACAACAAAGACAGAACAAAGATAGAATAAAGACAGCAGTATTACAGCATTGTTGCAGATGGGATTTCTGGAGTTAGCATAAATCTCTTTGGCACATTTACACTTGAGTTTCAAGTGTATTGTTTCACAATTCAAATGCAAGAATAAGGCTGTCAGTATTTTATATTTCTCTCAACATATTTCATGAAAAGAATTGATTCTACAAACAAGTATTGCCTGAGAAGCCAAAGTCTGATGTAACTTATCTCTCTGTAACATAAAGCTCAGTTTTTGTCCAAAAACTATTAAGAACACATCAGTGACTGTTCCTTTATAACATCGAATATAGGCACATACTCTGTCCTGCTGCCATTGATACTCACTAGCAATGTGTATCAATCCACAGCTGAAAATAGACCCTCAAAAGTTGACTTGAATAACCTCACACACACATCTCCACATCTTCACTAGGACCCAGTACATTAAGGGTAGAGAAGCTGGAAAGTATTGAGACTAACATCTTGTTGTTTTTGGTCTTTTAAGGGGATTTGTTCACAATGAGATACTTCCATTTACATGTAGCCACAGATTTGTGTCTTCCATAGCCAGATCACCAATCTTACCACATCTGTTAAGGTTGTCCACTGCATGATGCAAATCTTGAAGACCATTCTCCAGTCAGTAGGAGGGTTGTAATGCACTTAAGGCAGCTAAGTAACTTAAAAAAAATCCACAAGAAGAATAAGTTTTGCAAAGAGCTTGGGCTGTCACTGTAAAGGAATTTCCCCTGCGTTAATTGAAGCCTAATTTATACACTTTTGAGTGTTGCTTGACAGACACCAAACAGTCCTGCGACTTTTTCAATTCATGCTTCAGTGAAAGGTTTTAGTTGTCTCAGTCGTCTCTGTAGTAACCAGAGACCCCCCTGTGTTGTTTCTGTTGAATTTAGTCAAGTGTAATCTGCACAGACAGCTGTTTGGAATCACACAAATATCCCGCTGTATGTGATTTTAATTTATTGACCGTGCACTCATTGATTGATCAGCTCTCAGTCTGTCTGTGAGCGGCAGATTCCCTTCACTTGGCTGGTAAATGAAATCAGTGAATCATTAAATACATAGAATGTTGATTTCTTCCTGTGGCACTGACGTGAAAACTATTTTGGTTTAGTAAATGTCTGCTGTCAGTCAGCCTGGTGGAGGCAGTTTGACCGGCCCATAGATGTGTGACTGGACAGCCTCTGTCAAGTAGGAGTCTGTGTGGATCTAAAACTACTGTCTCTGTGGCAACAATAGTGAAACTACCTATCACGTTGTGCAACAAACTGTGACATAAAACTGTCCAGGTGCGCAACATGAAAGAAAGGTGTCAAGCAGCACTTTTTCAATCAGGAGAGACTCGTTTTTATGGTAAAAGAATATTTATTAACATGTGAACATATCTTTGGCGATTAGACCCCGTAGAGATGGTATGATTTAAGGAGGGTGATGAATCCATAGTCAAATAGGGAACCCCTTCCCCGGGGTCTAGACGCTGGTGGTGGGAGAGGTGGTGAATATGAGATGAGAGGAAGATGGAGAAGTGCTGATGATCTGGATGAGTAGAGGAACAAGCCTTTGTTGAGCTTGTCCTGGACGGATATGATGGCTGGAGGTGAGCGTGTTGAGGAGGGCACAAAGATTCTGCCTGAAATGACGGCTGATAGCAGCAGAAGAGACAGCAGATTTAAAATTTTGCAGTGGCATCCTGATTGGCTGAGCTGAAGCACGAAAAGACAAAGGATGGATCCACCTGTTCGTGCAGCACTGAACACAGAGTAGACTGATTGAAACTTCACTACAGAAACATTGTAAATGTGTCCCTACGTATTTCCTGTTTGAATGTTCTGCATGCGTATGTGAATCACATCAGCTGACAGGAAGTACACATGGACCAAAGCTGTTGCTTAGCAATGCAATTCCATTGAAACTGTCTTTAGATGCTCAGCACCTTGTCACCATCACTCCTATTGCAAAGAATTCAAGAAATACCTCATTAAAAAAGAAAACAACCTAAATGTAGTGGTTGTGACGGTTGCTTGCCATCCCCTGCGGTTGCCTTGTCAATAGCACAGTAATGCAATATTGCAGCAGCTCTACTAAAAACAATACATAAACTAGCTCAAACCCGTGGATGGATCCCCTGACAGAGCCACGAGTGATAGAAAAGTTTTGTCTTCACTCACTCACACCCTGCTCAGTTACAGATCACCGTTCTCTGAAAGCAGACTGTTGTCTTTATGATATTCTCACTGCAAGCCGGTGTCTGCACAAATGATCATTTGTGAAGTAAAAGAAGTGGCACTCTGTAGCATCACTCTGCCGCTGCCAGTGAAAGGTGTGTTTGTGAGCTACACACTGTGCTGTATGATAATAGACAGCCGAATGATGTCCCTACTGAAATCGCTGAAATGGCTTTCTACCTGTCTCGTCTGACAGGAGGGGTCGCATAATTTCAGTGTCATTTTAGTGGAACTTCGGCGGCAATAATCACAGGGGCAGGACCCTGTCAGTGGCCACTTCCACACACTGCTTACTGACACAGTTACTCTTGAGATAAGTAAAGATCAGGTGTGCAGCTCACAGAGACGGATCCATTTACACCTTTTAAACAACTCTCTACAAAGTGAAGTCACAGGTCGTATTAGAGGTCCAGTGTGTAGGACTGAGGGGGATATACTGGCAGAAATAAAATATAATGTGATCAGTATGTTTTCTATAGCGTATAGTCACCTGAAAATAAGAATTGTTGTGTTTTTGCTACCTTAGAATGAGTTGTTCGTATCTTTGCTACCTTAGAATGAGTTGTTTGTATCTACATAGGGCGCAGGACCTTGTACACGGAGATTGCCATGTTGCACCGCCATGTTTCTAGCCTGGTAAGATCATTCAGATGACGTGAGCTCAACATTATGTTTTGCTCTCTGTATTAGTCTTACCACAGAATTTTTTAACATGAAAGTGCTTTATTCAGTGTTTTCTGGTTTTGGGGTCGTACACATGCCACGTCTTTAACTGCATGGAAAACATGAGGTCGACTCTTGTGCCTGTTCTGTGCCAACTTTCAAGAGCATGGAGGCAGGCTGCGTCTAAGGTTGCTAAGCAGCCTCAACGAGCACTGTTTCATAACTTGTTTACCTGAAATCCCAAGTGCAGAGCTGATCTTCTTCCAGGTGCTGTTTTAAATGTCGGATGCAAAGCCCTGGATAGCCCTGCACTAAAACGATAAATTTCTTATCCATATTTATCACAGACTGATATTAACGGAAGAAGGGAAAGATATCTGTCGGCTGTGATTGGTTGTTCCTCGTCACATGACGTGGTGCGCGCTACTGTTTTCCAAAAGTTGAACTCTGTTTATCTCAGGGCGCAGCTATTGTGCCCTGAAGAATAGGCACTCGGAAACGCGTGTGCGGTGCTCTGGCGTTGCTCTGAAGTTGCTCTGACGTTGCTCTGGCGTCACTTTGGCATTTGAGCGTGCCTGCAAAAAACGCGGCAAGTGTACGGCCCCTTAAACCACCAGGTCTGGTTGTTTTGAAGAGGACGAGATCTCTGCAGCTATTTCAATTCACAGTGTAAACCTCCTAAACATCTGGATCAGAAATAAGGTGAGCACACATGTGCAGGTGCTGGACTAGCAGCCCATCACCAACATGCCAAACAGCGTACAAGAAATATCGGTTGTGTGAAACTGCTTTATTCTGTGTTGTTACCATTTTTGGGGCCGTGCACATGCCGCATCTTTAACCGCCTGGAAAATGCGAGGACTTGCAAGAGCACGGAGGCAGGCTTTGCTAAGCAACCTCAACAAGCACCGTGTCATAACCTGTTTAACTGAAATGATGGGAGCTAAGCTGATCTGCCCCTTAAACCATAGGGTACCTTTGTTTTTGAGAGGAGGAGACCTCTGTGGCTAATTCAGGTCAGAATGAAAACCTCCTGAACGTCTGGATCAGAAATAGGGAGAGCAGGTACTGACCTAGCAGCCCGTGTCTGACATGCCAAACAGCATATGAGAAATACTGATTTATAGCTTAAAAACTACTGTATTCAGTTTTTGTTTTGTTTTTTTTTGACTGGTTTAAATCACCTTGTACGTTAGTTTTGGAGAGGAGACCTCTGTGGATAATTTGGCTCGTTGTTAAATCCTCCTGAACAATGAACACTGAAGGAATCCTCACCCAGGGAAGTTTCATCTGGTTGCAATCTGTAATTCTCACTGCAAGATGCCTCCAGATCCCCACAGATCTAACACACTGTTCCTTTAAGTGGCAGAGTATAAACATGGTATAATTCTCAACTGATTCGTGATGTTTGTCTCATGAAGGCATGTCAGTTCTTTGCATTGCGAGCACACACCGACATAGCTATGAGACATGAGCTGAGGTCATTCAAGTCTTCTCAAAGTCACTCTGCAAAAGTTGAGCCACTCTGCAGTAAAATTAGTCAATTTCGAATACAGATTATCAACTTGCACAATTAATTAGGGCCAATCAGCGCTTCCATAAACAGAACAAATCAGTTGATGGGAGTGCTGATTATGGCTGATTACTCTCTGCGGTGTGATGTTGAAGAAATTACAGTTTTCCCATCACAATTTGCTCCAACTTACTCCTTCTATTGGACAGTTATGTAACATGTCTGCTACCAGTTTTAATAAATCGCACATAATTGCACTTATCGCACCGCGTATCATCTCTCCGAACCCTCGTCTTATTCTCAGCTTGTCGATCATAATTACTGTTTAGACTGGAGAATTGCAGCATATTCTTCTGCTATACTTTTCCTCTCTCCTCTGGTGCTCACTCTCATTGTTCGACACACTTGTCCCCTGTCTGTCTGCTCTTCCCACACACAGACACACACACACAAACTGTGAGCCTTGTTAAGTTTTGTTGCCATCCAAACTAGGCCC